GCATCGTTGCAGGTCTACAAGGAAACTGAAAGTTGTCACTTTATTGAAAGAATCACTCTATGAAAGAATCTTCATAGGTCTTAGCTCAAAAGAAGATTTGCTATTTTGATGAACTTATTCTCTGTTTCCATGAAGAAGCGTTGACCTAACTAGAACAGTCCTCCAAACATGCAAGAATTCTATGAAGTACTACACAGTGTTTAAGGCTTATTTTTTTCCTTTTTTTTTTGTAACCAGTAAATTTTTCTTTAATTAATTAACAATTTTGATTAAAAAAAAACAGTAATAGAAAAAAAAAACATTACAAGTAAATGTATAATAAGGTATTTATTTTGTGTCTATTTTGTTACTGTTTGTGTAACAGAGGAATGTTCCATCACAGAATTTCAAAGATGATACAACTGCCTCGGATAAGCATTTGAGATTTTACCGAAGTATTTGGTTCTATGATTGTTATTCTTTTACAGAAGAGACGGAATTTACAAATGTGAATGAACATATTGGCAGCCTGCCACTGTGGTACAATAACACAGTGTAACTGCTACAGCTCCCTCATCTCTGAGGAGGAAATCAGTGTTTGTTATGTGGTAGATGGCATTTAAATGCGCTCAGGTGGTTCATAGGGTATCAGCTGAAATAAATATAAAATCCCAATTTGGAAAAATACTTTAAAATATTAGACTAGCTAAAGGAAGAAAAATAAAGTTAGCACATAGTTATCAAGATAGGCATAGTGAGAAAAGTGCATTTTACTTTGTAGGCACCAATATGTTAATTAAATTATTCTCTTGTAGTTTTATTCCCAATAATTTCCAAAATCTTAACTTCAGTTAGCATGCAGTAAGGCCTTGTTAGATGTACTTGATCTGGGCTCAATTTTGTATTTTGAAACTGCCTCATTCTGCAGTGTGTCACTGGGTGAGAGAAAGCAGCACCCTTGGAAGCAAAGACTCCATAGCAATCACAGAGCAACCTTTGGCTTTAAAAAAAGTCTCAGGATTAGTGTCAAGAGCAGCACTAGCCTCTAATTATGATTTTTTTTTTTTGTGCACAAATAAGTTTTTTGTTGATTTTTAGCTGGCACAGGCAGAAGTCCTGACAACAGAAGGGTTTCCTTCTCTCTTTGCATATAGCATTTATTTCTGCATTGGGCTGCTTCCCACAGTCTCTTTTTTCATGAATAAAATTTGAGTTGCAGTTTCGGGAACTGAAGTGAGGAAGTAAAAAACATTAGAACATGCTCTTAATATTTTTTTTTTTTTATATCGTGTTCAATTCCACCCAAGTTTGGTTTGATGTGTGGCAATGTGAATGTTTAAACTAGCAAAAGGCAGGGGTCCTTGAGGTAGTTAGTAAATAACTAGAAAGTTTCAGTGAGAGGAACTAAGCCTCTGGCTGGTATTATTAATTTATGTTTAATACCAGTGTAACACAGGTGTTACAGAGTGACTCCTCTTCTGCTTGTCATACCCAGCCTGTTAACTGGAACCACAGTGCTTTAAAATGTTTGCAAATAGTTCCCATGCTTCACCAACCTCACTTCTTTCTGCCTGAGCCTGAGGTAATGAGTTTAGGTGCTTGCAACTGCTGCATTGAATTTGTGGACTCCCATCTACTTTGTTACTGGCTTAAAATACCTTATTGCTATAATCTCTTGATAGTCAACCATCAAACTTGCCAACTACTCAGTTAGGGGTAGGAGAAAGAGGCAAGAAGCACTAGAATGTTATCTTCATGCACACTAGGATTTATGTCCAATTCATGGTTTATCATCACTGCTTGAACTGTGAATTGTACATGTGCAAAAAAACCGCAATTAAACAACACAATTCCTGACATGTCTTGTAAGCATTTGAAAACTGGTAACAGAACTGTGTGCTGGGACAGAATGTAAAATATAACTCTAAAAGTTTGCCTGGCATTCTTCTGCCTCCAAAGGTATAGGAGAAAGCCTTTTCCAGAGAAAGATATGTCATAGTTTTGCAGCTTTGCTCTGGTTGAAAAAATAGTAAAGCAGCTATTTTTTTCCATGCTTCGGAAAAACTATTCCTTGTAAGAAAAGAAATTATTAAATCTGTCTTTTTATTATTGGGCATTTAGGTGACTGTCATAGACTTAAGATATTAAATTAACATGCTTTATGTTAATTTAACATAACCCTAGGTGATTCAAAAGTCATAATGGAGAATTACTTACAAGAAAACTAAGCAGTCTTGCCCTAAATGGCTAGATATCTCTATTTCAGAATTGATGTAACCCCTGCACTTTGGCTAGGGAATACTGCAGATGCTGAAATAATGGTTCATCATTATTCCTTTGTTTCACATCAGAAAGCAAAAGTATAGCAAAGAAAAAAATTGACCTGTTCATGTGTTTTTAGAACAGTGATTTCAGTGAAATAAAAATGAAAGACTATTTTCATAGCTTCTCATATTTCTTGTCAAGTGAGAGTCAGCACATTACATTTAAATTTTAGGAAAGATATGAGGCACATTTAAGTAGAACTATAACACTTTTCAGAGTTATTATTTTTATGTATGTTGGTTCTCTTCATCTATTTTGGCTGGGAGCACAGTGATCAAGATGAGACTATTGGTGGAAAAGCTCAGAGAACATGACAGGAGCTATAAGAGAAACATGGATCCTCTCTCCTGCATAGTGGAAGCATAAAGCTGCTTGGAAAAGTATGTTTGGAGAAACAGAAAAGGGAAATGGAATATTCTCAGAAATATCGGTGGATACTGGATGAGCTTGCTTTCTAGCAGCAGACACACAAAAATCCCAAATTAAAATCCTACACCTTTGTCTGTTCCAGGAATTTTAATTAAAGGGGCCTAGAACAGAAAGGAAGAAAAGCTCATCTCTGAGCTTCCAGATCCAAGGAGAAACTCCCTTGGCACCACATGGAGGTACAAGTTTTTATCATTAATCTTCTCATTACCAAATTAATCTTCTTGCTTTTCATTGACAAATGATTTGACTACTGGATCTCTTTTGTGCTTGTGTTTGCAATAAGGCTCTTTTCTTTCCCTCCTAATTTTTAAAAAGGTCTCAGCATTCACATAGACTATAAGCATCTATCTTGTTTTTTATTTTCATTGCAATAGAAAAATCCATATAAGAAAATACAGGCAAAGCAGATGATGTTTTGCTATTACTGTTTGCTGCTGTCAAATAGATTTTCTGTGGACTACAGGGAAGAATATAGCAGGAAGCATCAGTTTAGTACTGGTGAAAAGTGTTTAATAATATACAATTTTTATAATTTAAAAAGATTTTGTACTTAAACTGTATAGTTGAAGATGTCCCTGCTCATTGTAAGAGGGTTGGATGAAGAGACCTTTTAAAGCCATTTCCAACCCAAACTATTCCATTATTGTATATAAGGTTTTGTTTCATTTTTATAATCAACACATACTATTAGATATCCTCTCAAATAAAAAAGGGCTTTCCCTTTTGAAGAGTAAAAAACTTATTAGAAAGAAGTAGTATTAATTACTAGAATCAAAGAGGTGGCAGAATATTTTGCTCAAAAAGAACAGAAGAACCCCAAGCGATTTGTAATGACAACTTGCTACTTGGTTTATCAGAGTAGTTTTATTTTGTTTCTGTAAAGAAAAAATAAATTCTTCCCATTTCACTTGTCATGATATTTTAGTTACTTTTTGCATGAAAAGGCAAATATTCTTTTCATGGGACATGATTTTGAGAAGTTTAACTTTTTCAGTTGTCATATTGCAATAGTGCAAAATCTTTGAAGTGGTATTTCCTGTTGTAGGAATTCACTGTTTTATTGAATAAGTCTCAAAGACCTGACTTCTTCTTGTCTATTTGTACAACAGCTAAAATTCTTCATTAGGTATCAAAAACATATAAAAAAATTAATTCCGTTTATGAGATACATTTATAAATAGTTTGTCTGATGATGTTCTTAAATTCCAAAATGAATTATGCTTCAAGTCACAACATTGCTGGCCAGTGAAAGTTTCTATTGGAAGATTTCTGGGTTTAGTATACTATTTCTAAATGATATTATCACGTTGTACTGGATAGTACCAACAGAAATCATGTCTCATTTTCTGCAAGAAATGGTCTAAAAATTTACAGACCACCCTACTTTACAGAGGATTAAAAAAACACTGGAAAGGTGCAGTTCTGGGAAAAATTAATAATTAACTGTATCTTTACTTATATCTTGGAAAGTGTTGAAACATATGCACTTATTAGCTGCCTGCTAGGTAGCATGATTACTTCTGAGTGTATTTTTTCATTCACTTTCCCAAATGGCTCTGCAGAGATATAGATATAAAGATATTATGAGAATCAACTCTTCACTGAGGTATCATGTTCCCTAGTTCCCTAGACTTCAATGTCTTGTAGGTCAGTGTGGTATATAGGCAAAAGGAAGGAATTTTCTCAGATGAGTTTGACTGGGAAACTGAGAAGTCAACTTTGTGGCAGGGAGAGTAGAAAAAGAACAATACATAAATGTTTTCTCCTTTTTACCCTATTTTTAATTAGGTACTTGCCATTCCGGAGAGCTGTGGAACAATTAATGGTCCTGGATTGAGATCTGAGAACTTAAAGTTTCTGTCTGTCACTCTTAGGACTGGGTATCCTAAGCAAGGCAATTCTGCTGTGAGTGAACTTACTGAATTTTGTGTTTGAGTGAGTGAAAGCTTTCAGTCATAGTGGGTTCCTTCTTTGGTAACAACCCCTGAAAAGACTTGAATGAAAAACAAATTTCCTTTATGCAGGAAAAAAAAAATAGAAGACACATATTTCTGACAGGACAGTTTTGGGGAAGATAAAAATGGCATTTGGCTGGCTGATTTTCCATCAGTGGAAAACTACCACTTCAGCTTTCTAGGACACTCACCCTGCCAGTCACCTGTCAGCCAGGCAGACCAAGTCAGACTGACTGTGTGAAGGAGTGGGGATCTTCTTGCTTGGGAAACCACAATGGATGAGCAGCTGCTCTGACTTCTCAGCTTCCACCATGGAAAGACATAGAGTCAGGATTCACAAGGTTCTTGAAAAAAAAAAAAAAAAAAATAGAGAAGTATGTTGAGATGTTGCTTGCAACCAAAACCCAAAAAAAAATTCTCCCCAAAGACTTTCAGCTAAGACTCCCTGAATGATAAAAAATCCCACATGTAGATGTTTTGTCAAGTAGTAAATATTAAAGACCAATATATTGAGAACTTTTTAGTTTTACAGTGGTTTCATGATAAGGGTGATGCTATAAGTATAAATAGTGAGGTAAGCCAGACATGCCCAATAATTTTATTATCTAAAAGTAAATGCAGACTTTCATTCTGTTAAAATGAGTTTTCTCAAGGGGAGCTGTATTATTCAGAGCAGAAAAGGAAGTAATAGAATTCTTTAAGTGATGGGGGAAAAACTTTATTGAATGTACATAACAGCAAAAAAAAAAGTCATTCTCATAGGTCTATTAGAGTACATTCAGACTCTTAGAAAATCACAACTATTGACAGACTCAGAAGACAAAAGATCTGTATAGAAAAAAAAACTGCTCTAATTATTGGATAGCTTGCAATTAGAGAAAAGCAAAATCAAACTGTTCATTGATAGGTAGTGAGCAAATATAGAATGAGATGTGCTGAAAATATTGTTCTACTGATTTCAGAAACTGTAAAATAGGAGTTTCATTGATAACATGGAGTTATACTGAGAAGTAATTTTTTTGAAGACAATTTGTCAAAAGCAGCTGTTTTGTCTTCATTTTACATTATGAAAGAAGGAAGGTGTATTGTCATAGTATTTGAAGTGATATAAAAAATGGTTTAATGAAAGCAATTTGTCTACTGCTACCTTTTATATTACATTATAGATGTAGGTTTAGCCATTAGGCAGTTTCTGTGTCAAGCAGACATTGAAGTTTTCAATCACAGCAAACACAGTCATGATAGGCCTTAAAAAGTAGCTCTGTTAAAGTAATGCTATTTGTAGCATTAGAATGCATTTGTGTGTTCAACTGTAAACCTCTGCCACTAATTCTATATCATAAATCATAGCTGAAAAATACAGGTGTATCTTTCTGCAGTAAATTTTAAGAGTATGCAAACCATGGGATTAATTTTTAGCTTCTGGAGAAGTACAGTCACTTGCAGACACTCACATGAGATGACACAATGTATGTATTTGGTCCTGTGTTAAAAAAATTCCCTAGACACAAAACTGTACTGACAGATAGTCCTTGGGACTTTAGGAGTCACTTGGATGTTTGGACTGAAAGATGCAACAAAAGTTTTCTTGGTGCTTATCTGTATCTTGGACTTCCTTCTAACCCTTAAAAGCAGTGACCCACACATTGGGCTCATGCAGCATTAGTGAATCTGAAGCGGTTTGCAGTGGCATTATGTTTTGCAATGCAGGTTTGTCTTTAACTTGGATTGTCCTGGAGTGGAAGGAGAGGACTGTCCGTCAGAAAATGGTTAGCTGGCTTTCTGCTTTTTGAAGGCAGACTGTTCAGTGTGGAGTCCAGGGAAACCAACCTGTCTGCTGCCCAGGCATAAAGTCCTCCAGCAAGTGAGATTGAGCCATATATTTAAACAAATACAAGCCAGCACTTCACTTAATGTGTTTGTTAGATTTCTCCTGCTTTAGCCAGCACTACTGTAGTCTTTAAACAGTGTGACAGAAGTACACTTCCACTTCAGTTAATGGATGTATCAAATACCTTATTTCATGCTTTCTGCTTTTGATTTATGAATTTTGATCCCAGAGACAAGGACCCTGTGAGTATTGATTGTGGAAAATGTCAGACTAACAGAAGTTAATTTCGCTTGTACATGTGGAAGTCTGTGATTCTCTGACAGCGCTGTCTGTGGAGAACCGGCTGTCACCCAGCCCGAGCGACGCCGCGCCATCACAGCAGCCAGCCCCTCCACCCTGTGCACTGGGATGAAAGGGATGTGGGACTGGCAAAGGGGTCAAAGGAAAGGATGCCTAGAGTCAGGACAGGAGAAGAGAGGGTCAGCTGCTGTGGATCCTTTCTCTCTGAGATTCCCTGCACATGATTGCAAGGCATCTGGTGGGATTATGAAATGTAACCGTGCCAGCACCACTACTAGTTGGCGACTTCATTTATCAATTAGCTTTCTTTGCAAATTATAAGTATTTCTTTATTTTAATTGGCAGAATCAAAATATCACTTCCACAGTGGGGCACTTTAGAGATAGGAAGTGGATTATTTTTGCTTGGTCTTTGTACCTCTTGCACTTGAGATGCAATTAAAAACTTCAAACATCCTGCTATATTTTAATTTTGAAAGAACATGTTATCTCAGATGGCAGAAAAGCAGAGAATAAACTCTGGATGTTAGATGAAAATTAATAAATGTTATCAATACCTGGTCTTGTTTCTTCACCAGAAAAAAGAGATTGTCACTAGACCATTCACATTAACAAGGGTGAAAAGATTAAGCTGAAATAGGTTAAGCATTTGTTTTAGCCCTGTAATCTGCTATTTTATTGTCACTTTTCAATGGACTTTCATCTGGCACTTTTTGACTAGGATAAATATCACAGAACTAAACCACATTTTTTTGCTGATTTTTGTCTTAAAATTAGATTAAAAGTACATATAATACTGTAGGAGAAATTCTAGAAGCTACAAAATGGTTAAACTGTTTATCCAAAGTTAATAGTTAGAGTTATAATAAAAAAGTGTTCAAAATTATATATGTAGACAAATACAGATAGCTAAACACAAACACAACAATAGTCTTATAGCTTGAACTACTGAAGTAGGGGAGAAAAATCAGTTCTTTCCCTAGAGAAATACCTTTATTTTTTCCCATTTGAAAGATTAATGTCACTTTAGATAATTCTAGAGTTTTGGATAAATAACGGTGTGGAGGGATATAGAGGGAAAAGTAGCAAGAGATTCTTTTTCTTTAGTTTCACTTTAAATGGCAAAGCACTCAGGGCATGCTGGCTAATATGAAGGCAACATAAACTGGAAAAAAGCAAAAGGAATTTTGTGCCTGTGACCATAGGAGGAGAGGAGAACAAAGTCCTGTGGGTTTCTCTCTTTAATCACTATACTTGAAAACAGAGAGTTGTGAGGTTACATAATGACAGTAATATTTCTTTAAACAAGACTTTTTAAGAAAATAGCATGGATTTTATTTTTACTTTTTAAATCTGGACGGGGACACATTAAGGAAGTAGCCTAGGTTTCATCTTATTTAGATATTTCAAGTGTAATAAGGCCGACTGTTCTTTGGCTTTCACAGCTGAAAAAGACGTTATTATAATGCTGGACATCTCCCAGTCAAAAGGTCTTTACCACAGAATATACCTAAGTTGCTGCTCTTTGCCTTTGGGAGAGTTGAATTTATCCACACGTGGAAGAGGACAAACAGATCATCATGAGAGGATTGTTTATGGAAGGGAGGATCAGAACAGAGGTTGCAGGCCAACCACATCAGAGTAAAATATGTACCTCTTCAAAGATCTTCACTTGTACTCTCCATGAAAAGAAACTGCAAGGCTCCAGACAGCTGTGTCAAGATAGAAAAAATAAAATTAGCACATATCGTACATAGATGCAGATAGGGATGGATCATATGCTTACATGCACACATATAAACACCTCATTGTGTCTGGAGGTTAAACCTAATTTCAGAAGCTTTTTCTCTTTTGGGTTCTTTCTTTCTTTCTTTCTCTCTTTCTCTCTCTCTTTCTCTCTTTCTCTCTCTCTTTCTGTCTTTATTTTTTAAAGGGCTGGTAATCATTAAGAATAGTGATTTGTTTAGTTAAATATCTTTCTGTAGTTGTATCACCTGTCCAGATGTTTCAACTGCACTTACACCACTCACATCCAATCCATGTGGTTTTGCTTGAGACTTTGATTAAAAAATGTCATCAGACATACAACATTTTAATCTAACAAGGAAAACAAAACAATTGTTTTTCGTTTTGTGAAAATATGAAATATTTTATGATAATACGTAAAGAAGCAGGGGCTGTACATGCCTTTTGAACTTCTTTTGCTATAAAATATTGGTATTTAATGAGGCACGTTAATTCCATATTTTTTATTAGAAAGCCAGAATTGCATATGGCCATTTACATGTGCAATTTTAAATCATATTTACATGTTAATCCTTTAAAAGCAGTTTGACAAAATCATAAAGCCTTTGTTTAATGAAAAGGAAAGTGCAAACAAATACTCCATCTCCTACATAAATACACAAAATCAACTGCTTGGGAGCAATTGGGAGCATGTCAAAAATATATGAATCTATTGCATATGGTTGGTTATATGGCAATCATGCATTTAAGTCTGAATCTCTAAACACATGTGTGCAGCTGCATGTGTCCAAATTTACGTAGTATGTCTAAACCAGGCAACAAAGAATTAAAGAGAAAATGCACAAAAAATTTGTTTTTTCCACATCAAGCCATAATACATACTTTATATAGAACTTATATTTAAAGAAACAATAAAATAATGATATTATATTCCATTTTCTGTTATTGTCTTAGCTAGATGGTTCCAAAGAATAATATAAATGTTTTCAGCTATAATATAAGTCACTTCTAAAAATTATCAGTACAATTCTGAAAAGGTAAGGCAATATGGCTTAACAAACACAAGAACTGTAAAGAGGCTGTTCCATTAAACAAATTCTCTCCTTTTATAAAACTTCTATCTTATTTGTAAAAAGCCCACAAAGATAAAATCTAAACATATTTTCAATGTGAAAGTAAATATTATCTTCCATAGTTTGAACCATTTCATTTGTTTTCATTTGTAGATATAATTCTTCTTCAGGAAAAAAAGTCCTGTTTTCTTAGCTGTAAATTGCTCTTCTATAAATGTTGTTCATGGAAATCCGCTTGGTATAGGCATTAAATTCAGACAAAGCATAAGGAAGGTGGGATTGTCAGAGATGTCTGAACAATTATGAATATTGTTAGACATCTTATGTTTTAGAAACCTGTTATTATTTGACACATACTCTGTCTGAAACAGAAAAATATTTTCATGTTAACAGCACCAAAAAGCACCACCACAAACCCCAGGCTATTATCCCTTCCTGGAGGGCTTCCTCATGGGAACCTGGAAAACGATGACCTACTGAGACAAATGTTTTCTTTTTTCCTTTAACTGTGAAACTTTCTGTAGTGGTAGCAATTTGAAAGTGTGGCTGTAATTGGGCACTACATCTCTTTTTCCAGTTAAAGGATGGGCTTAACTTTACTTCACTTGCAAGAAGAGAAAGGAAGAGACTAGCTACTTTGTTTTAAGAAACAATGTACATGATGTCTGCATATGGGAAGATGCAGCATAATGTATTGACTCTATTAGAGATGATTTATGTAGATAGAAAAATACTTGCTTTTAAATAGTTTTAAATATGTTGTGATTTTCTGTTTTAAGAAAACTTGCATAGGTAAATTGTTACGGTCATGGACATCTGATATAAACAAGCCTACTAATACTATATAAAGAATTCTCTAAATATTAAGAGATATGGAATGTGCAATACTGGGGTGTTATTTAAAACTTTGTTGGCACTAATGAGGAGTGGCCAATCAAATACCCTCTACCTGTATGTTATGGGATTATCTTAAATCCATCCTAAAGACCTGTTTAACACTGGTCTTGTTCATCATTTTGTTCTGTGGAAATACATGTCTATAATTTTAAATATTTTTCCAGTAAAATGACACACATAAATTACATTAAGAATGTTGTTTACAAGGTGTGTTATTTTTTTCTGCAGTCCTTCCTCTAAAAGCAGATTCCCTATACCTCTAATATGTAAGCATTTAAGAGGCTTAAAATATACATCCAATACAATCCAGTAGGTCTAAAATGAATATCCTTTGTCATGAGTTTAAATCTAATAATTTTGGATTTACTGCAATAGCCTGCTTTATTTGCTGCATTAGCAATAGTATAAACCTACTATGATGCTTCTGTAATAGCAGTTATGCAGAGATGCTTGAATTATTTTGTAGTAGCCTTCCAATTAATTTTCCTTTTTTCTTTCTCAAATAATCAAAAATGCTGACAAATTTTGAAAGATGCTTGCACAAAAATCTATTTTCCTCAGATATATTTTCCTTCAACTCTTAGTTGTATTTTTTTAGAGAAGCTCCTGGGGAAAAGTTGAATTTGAGATGCTGTTTAATGCTTAATTTTATTTCTGTTAAAAAAATGAGTTAAAGAAATGCCCTTGCTTCACAATGCATTTTCTTCCAAATAAGGTGTGAGAGGGGAGAAATTTAATCTTCTTTGAAATGCAGCATGATTTACTTTCAAATCTGGATTTGAAAGCAGACCGGTCTAAAATAATAATTTCATTTTATAAAATTTTCTTTTGACATTTTTTCAAGTAGTTTAGGGCTTGGATTTTGTTTATTCTGATTGAAGGAAAACTGTATGAATAGAAGGTCTAAAATCCTGATCCCAAGCCCCGTCACACTCAGGTGGGTTATTCTCTAAATTTGAGTTCTATTGTTTGCATGTAGAATTTAACCAGCCTTATTGATTTTGAGACTAAAATTTTAACTTAATGTGTAGAAAGCATCAGAAAAGCCTATCGCTAGAGAGATTTAAAAGTAGCATCTTTGAGTGTATTTAATATTTATTTCATAAGACAAATATGACAGAATTCACTAGAATGGTTCTCAGGTTTTATACAATTTTTTTATTGTGGTCTGGTTTAATGCTTGTAAATATTGCGACCATCTCAGACTCACACTAATAAAGTTAGATCTGCCTGGAAAACACCACTCTTCCCAAACTTACTTAAATATTCAGCTCTTTATTAAAGCCTCTTGGAGTTTTTGTGTCTGTGATTTACCACTGTTTTAAACATGCTGTGGATACATGGCAAGATGAAGATGTGACGATCTTTGGTTTCTTCTCCTCCGTGCAGAAATTGTTTTTCCCATTTTGATCAGTGGTCCCTGGCAACAGGGAGCAGATGATGCCCCGGTCCCAAGCACAATGCCGTGTTGTTTGCCCAGCTCCTGTCTCCTTCTCCCCTTTTCCAAGATGCTGGTGTGGTGGGTATGGTTAACAGGCCCCACCAGCTGGCGTATCGGTGCAGACATAATTGCTCATGAATGGTGTGAGGAGAGAGGAGCAAGGGAAGAAATAAAACAGATAACAAGCAAAGGGAAAAAGTAGCACTGTAAACAAGCAGCATATTCTTTTCCCCCTCCACGGAGCAAGCTTTTGTGACTGGAGGCAGTATCTCTGTGCAGCCTGACTTCTAATCCATATCGCAAACAGCTTCCAGATGCCTGAATCCCCACCACTATTCTGGCATCCCTACCCTTCACAGATGCCTGTCTATGAGGGGGGTCTATAAGCAAAATTGGGTGTATTTTACTAATCATTCATTTCCAATCTTCCTGAAGGGGAACTTTTATTAATAAACTCTTTTCATCTGTCTCTTTGATTAGGAAGAAGATAATCGCTTAGTCATGTGAAAAGGGGGAAAAAAAAAAGATTGCTGGGGGGTCGCCTTTTCTAACATGTGCTTGAGTGGAAGGAAACAAATAAAAACCACAGAACAATGCAGGTACTAAATGGTTCCAGTTGAGCTTGAGTGGTGGAGGGGAGTTTGAATAGAAACCGTGGCGGCTGGGCTGGCCTCCCAAGGCAAGCAGAACTAATTCCCTTGATCCTGGCTACCCTGCAGGCAGCAGGCACGTCAGCTGGACCTGGCCAGGACCGCCGGCAGGTGCGCCAGCAAGGGAGGATGGTCAGGGACAGTGCCCATCACCCACCCTGCAGGGAAGGGGTGTCTCCCTGCAGGATGCATTGCTTTCTCTACAGATTGCAAAGTTGGTGAGAAGTAATTCAAGATTTTTCTCTTTGCTGTGCTTCATTCTCCTCAGCTCAGGTTACTACACTCAGGCTTACTGCTGTGCTAAATCTTAGGCTATTCTGTCTAAGGGAAATGTATGCTGTCTGGCAACCCCCAGAACTTAATCACAACAGATAGGCTGCAGAGATATTTTCACACTAAGGCGAATTTGTCTTCCAAACTATGCTGTGCTTCTATTTAAGCCATGGCCTGGGTTTGGCCCACATTCAAGACTGATTTTAAAGAATGTAATTCTCTAATTTTAATAGATTGGTGAATTTGTGCCATCAGTTGGCATCAATATGTTTCATCCCACTGACTTACCTGGAGCCCAGAGACTGATGATGATGGAGTATATTATTCACATAGGTTATGGTAATAAAAATGTATTTAATTAATTCAGTCACACCTATTCTTACTCACTGAAAGGTTTGAAAAACATTTCTTTTTGCCTTCCATTCTTATTTTTCATTAACCAGGCTGAAACCTAATTTGTATGGCTGAGAAAAATGTCTGTTTTTATTAATGTATTTTTATTTCAATACTTTCCATATTTTGCAATACTAAGATCTCCAGAACAATTTTATGGAATGTTTTAGGCTCTGAGATCACAGCAGTATGATGCAGACAATGATTTCTATACTCCAAAATGTAAATGTTAATGCAAA